GATAGATGAACTGCGTTTTTGCTGTTAACATTTACAAACTGTCTTAAATTTCATGTGTTTGACATGATAAATTTGTAAACCTTCATGAATTGTTATGAAATTTGGACAGAAACTAATCTTCAAGATTAAAAAATAGCATCTAAAGAAAAATTTTGATAAATTTTTTTTTTATTCTGTATATAACTGTAATATATGGCTTCACATTTTATGTCAACATTTCACTTCTACACTGACAGCAGCAATCAGAGGCGAGACACATGGTTCCTTTACAATAGTTTTTTGGCAGTTTTGAAATCGATATGAGCTAGGTTAAAAGTGTAAATTGCAAAAATGATCAACATGGCACATTCTATCAAAACGGGGGCCTCGGTTGCCGAGTGGTCTAAAAAGTCAAACTACTATATCACTAGCCTGTCAACACTGGGGTTGTGAGTTCAAATTCAGCACAAGGCAGGTGCTCTTGACTCCAATCTAAATTGACTAAGGCTGTCAGTTTTTCTATGTAAGGTCAATGGTTCTCTCTGGGCAATCAGACTTTCTCCACCATTAAAAACTGACTGCCACTTAATAGCACAATGGTGCTGAAAGTGGTGTTAAACACAAATTAATCAATCAATCAATCAATCTTTCAAAACAAACAAATTCAGAAAAATCATCAGCATGACAAGATCTATGTCTTAAACAAATTTCAGAAAGTCGGACAACCTGTTTTGGAGTTATTGCATCTGAAATGTCAATGTCTACTGTTTTAAGCTTATCTGACCCAAAGGGTCCTTTACTTTAGACAAGATACTTAAGCATTGTTTGTGTCATCCGGTTTTAAGAAAACTTTATCTGATGTCGTTGCCACCACGATTTTGTGCCCCTCTTACCAATGATAGTGGTTTTGGATGAAAAATAAGCATTTTATATGCAGTGACATTTAATTATAAATCATAGAAACAGTGCATATAATTTTAAAAATATGCAGGAAACGCCAAAATTAGAAACTACATTATATTGCTTATGTACGGATGTTTACCATGTTTTTACTGGCATTTGTTTCCACAAAAACAATGAAGAGAAAAATTGTTATTTCATATATATTTTGAGAACACATGATAAAATACTACTTTTTCAGAGTAAGTTGCACACACAGCATTAAGATACTTACAATTACTTATTTCAACTCAAAACTTAAGACTCAAGTCTTTTATAATGCAAAATTGATATCCTGTGCAAAAAATTAGAAACTTTCATCATTTTTATTCCCCCTGCAAAGTTTAGGAGACTATGTTGGAATCACACTGTCTGTCTGTCTGTCCATATGCCTTGGCACATAAGCACAGTTCCTTCTAATGGCTAGATCGATAATAACGATGATGTGCATTATGGAATATAATCATGGTCTGACATGTTTAAGGGGAGCTAATCCAAATTAACTAATAGTACAGGGGTATCTTTTTGTGAGTTCACCCACATTATTAGTTGGTATTGACTTACAAATGAATTGTATAATAATTTATTTTATGACTTTTGATATCATTAACATTGAACACGTGTTTTTGTTTAATTGAATGTTACTGAAAAAATCATGTATAGATATTGCTGTTGTGTGGGTTTTAGTCACAATATACTAAACTTAAATCTCAAAATTCTGGCTGCCAGGATGGTTCCTATGTGGACTGAGGAATTATATTAAAAAAAGATAGACTATTTGATTGATAACAATAACTTAAAAAATATAATGTTTTATTTTTAGTGGATATGAAAGACAGTCATGCCGTAATTGTTCCACATGACAGTATAGAAAATAGTCTGGCTTATTTAATTATGGAGAAGAAAACATTGAAAAGACAAACATTTCATCATTTGACTGATTTTAAAACAGATGGGAATTGGAATTTTACTTTGACAGAATTGTCTTTAACACAAGTAAATATTTTTTTTAAATACTGTGGATTCGTTTTATTTTTGTGGATATCATTTTTTTGTGGATGAAGGAAAAACTATATTTATGTGAGTATTTGATTTTTTGTCTGCATACAAGTCTATAGAAAATTTGTTCTTTGTTGAATGTTTAAATTTGTGTTTCACCTATACAAATGAAATCCAAGAACATTGGTATCCAACAAATATTAATGAATCCACAGTAAAGCAATTACTTTGATATGTCTATGTAAGCTATTAGCATCACCCTGTCTTGCCTACACGGTCCAGTAAAGCTATTGCCATTACTGATGTGTCTATGTAAGCTATTTGTGTCATTCCTGTCTGCCTACACAGTCCAGTAAAGCTATTGCCATCACTGATGTGTCTATGTAAGCTATAAATGTCGTCCTGTCTTGCCTATACATCCCAGTAAAGCTATTGCCATCACTGATGTGTCTATGTAAGCTATAAGTGTCATCCTGTCTTGCCTACACGGTCCAGTAAAGCTATTGCCATCACTGATGTGTCTATGTAAGCTATAAGTGTCATCCTGTCTTGCCTACACGGTCCAGTAAAGCTATTGTCATCACTGATGTGTCTATGTAAGCTATTAGTGTCATCCTGTCTTGCCTACACAGTCCAGTAAAGCTATTGCCATCTTTGATGTGTTTATGTAAGCTATAAGTGTCGTCCTGTCATGCCTACACGGTCCAGTAAAGCTATTGCCATCACTGATGTGTCTATGTAAGCTATTTCAGAGTTCGCGAAAACTTATTTTGACCCGTCGGTCATGGGACCGACAAAGCATGATTATTTGTCAGTCCTACAAAATTTTAGCCAGTCCTACAAAATCTCTCAATTTTATCCTGAAAAAAAATTAATAACATATTTTATCGAAAAATAACTTTATTAATATTAATTTTATTCTTCGCACCCACAGGCAAATTAACAATGAAAGACCAGTTCAGGTCTTCTGATTGTTCTTATTTAAAGTCATCTTCACTATCCATTTCATCATCTAAATCACTTTCTCGGCTGTTACAGTATTTGTTTGCTCCATTGTAGGGTTCAATCGCCGATTGTTTGCCAGGGATGGCTCTATAGACAAATTAAGTAGGCCACGTGTAGATCGCCGCTTTGGTTTGTTTATAATAAATCCGTAAACAAGTACCGGAAATTGGCAGCGGATACATCTGATAACCGATGTAAACACTTATTGGAAACAGTTGCGGTACATCTAATAACCGATGTAAAAAAGTGCCGAAATATGCACTACAACGGCCGTTTTTACATCGGTCATTGGGACCGGCACTAGCCTTCAAAATACTGGTCCGAGCCTCATTTTGACCGACAGGACCGACAGGACCGACCATTTTCGTGAACTCTGCTATTTGTGTCATCCTGTCTGCCTACACGGTCAGTAAAGCTATTGCCATCACTGATGTGTCTATGTAAGCTATTAGTGTCATCCTGTCTTGCCTACACGGTCAGTAAAGCTATTGCCATCACTGATGTGTCTATGTAAGCTATTAGTGTCATCCTGTCTTGCCTACAAGGTCCAGTAAAGCTATTGCCATCACTGATGTGTCTACTGAAAGCTATTAGTGTCACCCCGTTTTGCCTACACGGTCCAGTAAAGCTATTGCAATCACTGATGTGTCTATGTAAGCTATAAGTGTTATCCTGTCTTGCCTACAAGGTCAAGTAAAGCTATTGCCATCACTGACGTGTCTGTGTAAGCTATTAGTGTCATTCTGTCTTGCCTACACGGTCCAGTAAAGCTATTGCAATCACTGATGTGTCTATGTAAGCTATAAGTGTCGTCCTGTCATGCCTACACGGTCCAGTAAAGCTATTGCCATCACTGATGTGTCTATGTAAGCTATTTGTGTCATCCTGTCTGCCTACACAGTCAGTAAAGCTATTGCCATCACTGATGTGTCTATGTAAGCTATTAGTGTCATCCTGTTTTGCCTACACGGTCCAGTAAAGCTATTGCAATCACTGATGTGTCTATGTAAGCTATAAGTGTCATCCTGTCGCTTACACGGTCCAGTAAAGCTATTGCAATCACTGATGTGTCTATGTAAGCTATAAGTGTCATCCCAGCTAACAATATTACGTCATAATTACGTCGTGACAATGTCATGTTTTCGTCGCATTGACGTCAGGTTATTACGTTGTATTTACGTAAAAGTGTATGGTTTTCTTGACGTTGTCACAACGTCATACATTAACGTTGTGGTGACGTAAAATTACGTTTCTACAACGTTATTCCTGACATTACAGCAACGTTAATATCACGTTATGTCAACGTTGTCACAATGTTATACATCAACGTTGTGGTGACGTAAAATTACATTTCTACAACGTTATTCCTGACATTACAACAACGTTTATATCACGTTATGTCGACGTAATATACTTGCACTTTTATATTATGCTATATAATTGGCCCAAAAATTTTCATATATATACATACATAGTATCAACTGTGTTTGTGACCATGAGGTGACCTCTAGATGATACATGTTGGTGTCATTCTCAGAAGGAATTTGTATATTCGGCATTATCATCATCTGTTATTTTTTCAAATTTTTTCGTTGTTACATAGCTTCAATCAAATTACTGTTTCAGTAATTTGGATATTACAGAAAGGAATTTCATTGTGTTTTTGGGCCACCCATAACTGAGTCGCTGCCTTTTCGTATGCAGTTCTTGATAGTTAGTGCTTGTAAAAATAATGTGCATTTATCATATATGTTACTCTATAAGGGGGATGTTCCCCCTGTCCCTCTTAATCCGTCTTTAATTGCTGCCGGCATATGCGATATGGGATTTGCTCATTGTTGAAGGCCGTACGGTGACCTATAAAGTTGTTAATTTCTGTGTCATTTGGTTTCTTGTGGAGAGTCTCATTGGCAATCATACCACATCTTCTTTTTGATTAGTATCCATTTCTCATTTAGCATGTTCACGTTCTGATTACAATATCTGACTAGCTAAATACCCATCAATGAAAGTTTTATAAAAAAACAAAAAATGAAAAGTAAACGATGCCTGTATATCAAAAAGAGAAGAATTGATCTTTAACTTTGTTTATTTTAAAGAACTAAACGTTCTCCTGGGTCCCTGGTATTTCCGGAGCTGCTTCATTTACCCTCTTAGCAATTGGTTCCTGCAATGACAATAAAAAAAACTTATTTGTACAAAAACTGAAATTGTAATTATTCTAGGTCTAACACGTGGCTTTCCAAATCTCTTTGACAAACACATAAACCACATAATTATATATTCAGTTAAATTTAATGTTACCCTATATTGTCCCAAAAGAGTATCTTGATCTTCACAATGCTAGTTACAAATACATATCTATAACAATTTCGTACTGAATTCTAAAATAACCAACTGTAATTTTCAACATAGAATACAAACAATAATAATTTTGTGAAATAATCTAAGATAGGTTGCATTATACGGGGGGCATTCATACCTTATAGCGTGTTCCGCCTGGTTTTGAGGGTGCATGTTTGAGGGTTTCCCCAATCAATTCCTCGATATCTGATGCCCTTGCTGAGGGGTAGTTCTTCATGTAAGCCTCTACAAAAATTGACATTGATAAAATTTGCATAATGATATTTAACATAATTTAAAAATAAACCTTATCAATTATAATAAAAAAATATATTTATTGGTAGTATAAGTAAATACTTTTAATAAAATAAACAGCAGTATTCTTACATTAATTGTAATTTATCATAAATACTATATATACACACAAAGTCAAATTATTCAGTGATAAAATTTGCATGTTTACTTACTAATCATTACTCCACACACACTGGTAATGGTTGAACCGCTATTTTCCCCTTTTTGCCCTTCAGACTGTATTTGGACCACAATCCATTGGTGCCAAGTGTTCTTAGCATTCTCCTTATGGTGTCGCCACTAGAGAAACCACCTAAGGCACTCAGCTGTTTCACCTGTTGAATAGAACAAGAAATTAAACCGTGATATGCACTATTCCAATCTACTTTTTGAATCGGGGAAAATTATTGACCTTCTTGTGTGTGCCCGACCTTCACACTTTCGTTTCACTTGAACTCATCCTATAAAATGTTTGAACTAAGGTAGTCAGGCCTTCCATTATATGTCCTACACCAACGAAATCTTTGTCAAATTACTCATTTTTAAATCAGGATTGAAATAAAATAAGAAGTGATTAGATAAACGAATTATATTTTTTAGAAAACTGGATTTCTATATCGTTGCTATCTAACTAGGAAAATGCATACGCGATAACGCCGTATCTGTCAAAGAGCATAAACAGATGCATGAACATATTAGTTCCTAGAAAAAAAAACTGACAAATTCTAATGATTATGTAAAATTTAATTACCATTTTCCTCCTGAAGGATTGGTCGTCCTGTAATTTAGAACAGAAGGCCTCCATCTCAAGTTCGGAATCAATCTGTTTTAAGTCAACAACTGCAGATTGCTTCTCTGCCTGATTTTCCGCACCTCCGCTACTCGTATTTGAAACATTGAGCTTTCTAAGCAGACTCAATATTTCTTGTTGGTCTTTATGCATTACGTCTAGCTTTTCCATTATATTGTCATTGTCTTTTCTCTCTTGTCTGGACATCCGCACAATAGGAGGAATAGGGGGTTCTGTTATAACTAACTCATCACAACACGAATGAGGTCGACTGTCTAATAAAGATGTGGATGCACTACACTCAATGGGTTCTGGAGAAAGAGATCTTCCATCTGGAATTATATCAAAAAGGTATATACATCATCACTGGGTTTGCATTTTTCAATTAGTACGAACAGCTTCAATGACTTAAATTAGAATAAATAAGATAAAAAAATGTTGACTGAAATGTCTATTCATGCACATATATATATTCGGTGTGAGCCAAGGCTCCTTGTTGAAGACCGTACTGTGACCTATAATGGTTTACTTTTATAAATTTTGACTTGGATGGAGAGTTGTATCATTGGCACTCATACCACATCTTCTTATATCTACATATGTTTAACAACACCGCTTACCGTAACAGATGGGATCTTTTCTGCCTCTTGGCGTCGAGGTAGTAATTGGTGGACAGGGCAAGGAAGGCAGTGAACTTTCATCCGTAGTATTACCTACAAAGAAATAAAATGCAAAAATAAAAATACTTTCAAGCATGAAACTACAACTGATTTGCTGTCAAATATATGTCAATTATACAGCAATCAGCTCCATTTCCTGCGTATTTTTTTTCTGTTTACGAATAGGAAACATAAAATTCATTTCTCTTAGCGACATCATGATTAGCCGAGTGACAGAAATCAGATCAGTACATTGATATGCATTCCTTTTTAGCACACACAATAGTGAGTTTTCACGTGCATTATAGAAACAACATACAAATACTGTAAGATAATATAAAAGGTATTGATTTCTTTTCGAAGCTCGCCAAGGCTCGCAATTCTTCCATATTCTTAAGCTCTCATAAATGAATTATCTGACAATACATGGTTATACTGTCTCCATGAAGGATTATATAAAGACGGAACAGCTGACCACTTTCGTATATATTTATCAATATTGAATAAAATATATCAATAGAGCATTAAAGATCTTGCAAAATAAAATTTGAAAATACACAGAACATCATTGAATTCTATTTTTCTAATACATTATTTACGTATGTTATATATAAATTATATGGACTTGTTAGATTATATTGGCACTCGGACTTCGTTCTCGGTCAATGTTATCTGAACAGGTCCATATATAATTTATGGATCTCGTCAAAAGTCCATAATTGGTAAATACTATATTCAAACATATGTGCAATGCTTACTTCCTATCAGTTTATATCATGTATTTTATTCAAACAGGCATTTTGACCATATATGCCATTTTTAACAAAATCTACCATCTGAATTATTTAAAGTCATGCTTAATTGAAGGTAACAACGCTTACTTGTTACTCGATGCATGTCACTTCTAGATTTTAAACTCTTCACTTTCTTCTTAATTGTTGAACAACCCTGCTCTTCTTCTTCTGGAAATGTAAGGAAAAATTATACTAACAATTTAGTAAAATGGTCTATTATGTTGATTACTATATTTTCTTGTGTGAAGAACCACGGATATTGTAAGTGATCAAGAATACAAAAATAATATTGTGCGCATGAATATTTACACAAAACTCTTAGTAGACTACAAGAAGTAATGAATAACTAGAGAAGCTCCATTGTATATGTTTGTTCAGATGTACTGTTTATGTAATTGAATGTGTCCATATTTTTAGACTCTTATTCAGATAAAGAAAAAAATATACCATAGTCACAGTCATCATATCGAGAAGGTTGACTGATTTTCCTTTTTGGTGTCTTTTCCTTCTCTTCCTCCTTCTCTTCCTCTGTCTCTATATGTGAGGTATCCTCTGCTAGTTTGCATCTTCTTGCCGCTGTTTCATAATCCTCTATTTAATAAATTAAAAAAATTGAATAAAAAAAATGAATTATGTGATTTCCTAAATTAATAACGTCGCAAGCTTTTCTATTAAGATAAATAGTTTAACCATCATTTGGTACTTAATCGATAATCTCATTCACTGAAGCAACAAATCATAAATAACGGTTTAATGATTTTAAAGGAAAAAAAACTAATTCGAATGAACTTAATTTAGATACATTGACCAAAAACTCTTCTTACAAGGTAGAAAACAAATAATTGAAAGGGTTTCAAAATATTAACACCATAGGCTCCGTTTATTTGTACCTGTTGTCGATAGTATCTCGATTTTGTACAGTGCCCACGTCTGCGGATCTGGGATTGTCCCAAACTTTGCTTTTTTTGAGGCTCCTAATTTGGGCCAGTAGGTAAACATAGCCTAAAATAAAATACGAAACATTAAAGAATTTAAATATTCATTTGCTACTACTTAAACCTTTGAAATATTTACATGGTATTGTAGTTTGCATATAGTATAGAAGAAATGAAATAAATCGATCTGGTTTTAACAGCAATCAAAACTAATCAGTAAAAAAATTACTCAAATTTAAATTTTATATGGCTTTGTGGTGCTCGTTTTTGTATTTACTTTTTATTTTTTATTTCATTTTTTTTTCTGATTGTGCTTCTTTTGACATTTGTCACAGTTTTTTCTTCATCCACGGATTCTGACATTTTGGTCTTCTTACTGTGTCTAATTCGAAAATAAAAATATAAGATTATATTTATTTGAAACTTACATCTTGTGTACTTTTTAACCAGGTTTTATGGACAATGTCTACTGTTATCATGGTTATGTCCTCGGGATCCAAAAACTCTACGACAGCATACTCCATCACCATCTGAAGAAAAATCGTCTAATTAACATAACAAAATTAATTTCTGTGTTCTTTTATCTATGGTATAATTTAATATGGAAATTTAATAATGTAGCAAACCGAGAAATATTTTTATCCCATTGTCCTTTTCTATCATTATAGCCTTCTGTTTCAGAATTCCTGGAGATACTATCTTCATCCGTGAGTGTCTATCATTTCCTTTATAGGCACCAATTATGCCAAGATTACAGGGCTGATCACTGAGTGGTTCACATCTTTCATAAAACCTACACATTAGTTTTTTACGGTTATTTCCATCGTCAATGTTTGTAGTGCTTACTACTTCACAACACGACGAATCGGAAATAACGTAGAAGTTATTCGGTCTTTTTGTCTCTATATTGGCTTCTTTGACAGATTTGGCAGCTTGCTTTACATTTTCAATTTCATCCAAACGCTTCGCTATTTGTACAATTGGATTTTTCCCTGACCGAACCATTCGTTTTATTCGTTGCATGAAGTTCTCAAATGGAAAAGCAGAAAACGCATCTAAACTTCCAAATTTTACAGCATCTGATGTGATATGAAGCATGCTGTGTACATTATACACAATGAATTCTGGACCATATAAATTACGTCCCATTTCAACGAAATATTTCAAAAGCGCATTTGCATACTGGTGATGTCGTTGTAGTAGACTTTTGGAGGCTAAAATGCAAATAGCAACACTAAATGTCATAAAATGTAAATATAAATCTTCCCTTAATATCCCTTTTAAAACAATTTTCCCCGTGTATAGTAAGAATTGTCTATACTCAGTTGCTTTCCATCTGTCTATTTCGCACAAACTCCTTGGCTTTCGTACAAATTCGCGCGGTATGAATCTTTGCAGACCTAGTAATCGATTGCTGATTTGTTCTGAATGCAATGCGGACATTTTAACTTCTTTTTTCCCTCTAATCCAAATCAAAATAAGTCTCTTCATTACCCCTAAGCAGCATTGATGCATGTAATCAATGGGAAATTGTGCAATCATATCAATGTCTAAAGTGCAAAAAGGGGAGTCCCGATTATGATGCTCAGGATTAGTTTGTCTGCGGAAAGAATCATTTGTACGGACACTTAAATCATCAGTGTCCTGATAAGTCATACGTCCGAACCAGTTCCCTCTTTGATCACATCTATCACAACCAAAGTACCCCAAATACAGTTTTATTCCTTTTACCATACATTTTGCTGGAGCATCACAAACTACACATCTTAATTTTATTCTAATGTTTACGCCACTGTACATTAGTCCATTTTGGATTATATTGTCCAAGTCAGTTATGGTATCATGTAAAAAATCAAGATTGGCAGGTTTTGTTTGACCATAACTCAAAGCAACGGTGAAAATTAGCAAAGGGTCAAGGTGAACAGCACAAAGTACTGGCCACACAGATTTTGATGAGCTTTTAAAAAGAGGTAATCCATCAATAGTTAATGAAATTTCTAAATTTGTTATGTTATCTCGAACTTCTTGTGGATATTTATCTATGACATTAATCAATTGGTCTGACAATGAATAATATAGATATTCCATTCCAGATTTCATTTCAGTAACAATATTGCGTTTTGTTTTAAGAATTGTTCTAGCGGTTGAAGGAATTTCAGAATGACCATGTTTTTGCAAAATCTTTAACAAATTGTCAACAGCATTATGTTTTATCTGAAATTTGTTAATCCAAGCAGCCAAATCGTCGCTCAAAGTTTCCATGTATGTAGATTCATGTTCGGATTCAGAGTCATAATCAATCGCATTGTCTTCGTCTATGATATCCCAGTTTGAAGTATTCTCATTTAGACTTATAGGTGTCTGGGGGGTGAAATACATTGTACTACATTCTTCATTTTTGTCTGACCTATTTTCGTTGACAATAATGGGTATGTCAGGGGTAGTGATATACTTTGAAGTTGTTGTTTGACTGGCATTATCACTGTCGGACGAACTTATTGCAGTTTCGCGTGGTGGTTTCCGATTTAGAGCTCGACTAGCCTTTATCCACTTTCTGTTATAGTCTAATTTTCTTTGTTTTCTTCTTCTTTGGTGTTCGTCCATTCTGAAATTTGTGTACGTACTTAATAGGACCATATACACTATTTATAGAGAGACTATACAGAACTGTAAAACAAAAATGGAAGGCAGTGGCTATTTTGCTTCTGTTTTCCAACAGCTGGCAAAATAGCCACTGCCTTAAATTTTTGTTTTACAGTTTAAAGTTAACGATTTGGTTACAGATAAATGCAATTCAAAGAAAATACTGTTAGGAAGCAACAATTTAACTTCAAGGAGGGTCATTTTTTTTGCTTGAGTCAGATTTTTTTTGCGCAAAGTGCGAACAATTTTATTCAATTTTTCAACGATATCAATCAAATCATTTTGTTCAATTTTAACACTATAAGGTATGGGAGGAATCTGGATTCAGAATATTTTTTGTCCTGTACTTGAACAGAATATTTTGTTTTATCAATGTGGAAATCAGAAAAAAACAATTTAAGAAAAAATCCATGACCCCCCTTTTTTAAAGTTAAATGGTGGTTCCCTAATTTCAAAGGCAAATTCCATTAAATATTTATGATTTTGAAGCTATATGATTGATTTTGTAAGATGGCATAATGAGTTATCAAATTATATACATAGCTCCTTATTTTTATTTTTATTAATGTTAACATATTCCAATCTTCATTAAGACTGATATATCTTTTTAAACTTCACAAAGAACCGGTAAAATAACAAATTCACAGTATTGCCGGCGCCGTCAAAAAATCCATTGCTTTTTAATTATGCTATTTATAGCTCGCTTTTAATCGAGATATTTTAATCAGATCATAATTATTGTTTCGCCGGCAAATTAGCCACTGCCAAAATATAAAATTTAAATATAGTTGAAAATTATGATCAATAAATGTACGTTTTACATTTACAAATTTGCCATATATATATATATATATATATATATAAAGTGCCTAGAAAATCAACCTTACGATGTTAGAGTAGATCTGTTTCTTTACTTCCTCTCTATATATATATATATATAATAATAATTAAAGGAGCAGTGGTATCATTTTTTTGTAAATTATATTGTCCCTTGCAAAAATATAAAGTTGATTTTAGTCAAAAAAAAGCCAGGTTGGCTATTATCACTTTCCTTATGTCTCTTAAGGGAACATTTATCTTTTGTATGCATTCATACTAATTTTTTTATCGGTTCTTTAAGAGTTCAATGCATGACATTATCTTGTAAATACACTGGAGTTATTTTCAAGGTATGCCATCACTGTGACTGTGTATAAAGGGAACATGACCTGGCAAATAAATAACACTCTGATAGCTTGCTATCCTGACCTCAATTAGAATCAAATTAGTTACACGTGTGTAAGGTTTCTGCAGACGAAATTTACAAAAGTTAATGAATACATGTTGAGTGTTACACTAATAAAATTATAATATAAAGCACGATATATATGTACAACACAATTTAATTTCTATTTTCTAAAATGGTTTTAGATATTACATCATGCACGTGTTGCATGTAATACAGAAGTGTAAAACCAGAATAGTGGTGCGATATATATATATATATATATATATAGGTTAGATAAATTTAAGATTGGTCAAGTTTTGAATTGTTTATTGTTCATTTATATACGAGAGTAGATAAATGTTTATCGTTTAGTATATATCATTCTTTTCCTGTAAGAAGAAAAAAAAACAACAGTGAAAGAATACAAAGATAAATGTACTTACATTGAATCTAAGTGCAGTTCGAAATAGACGTGGCTTGCTGAATGGCGCTAAAATTTCACCACAATAGCGACACAGTCGCACCCATCATCTGGGTCAAAATTCAAAACAGATGCGCGTATATATACATAGATTTATAACTAATAAATATCGTTCATTAGTTTTACCAATAAAAGAACAAGAAAAATTAAAATTAAATTTAGTACAACAAAAGAAAAAATAGTAAAAGAAGAAATTTTGCTTTTGTAAATTTTAGGGATGTCGATAATAACGTCGCAACAACGTTTTAATTACGTGATTTATTTGATCGGTGTACAGTACATATTGCAGTTATTTATTTTTTATTTTTTTATTATTACGATGTATTATTGATGACAAAAACATAGTTTCTCTTTTATAACAGCGTAAAAATCAACTTAATACTTTATCGACCAAAACTAAGACGACGTTGCTAAAACGTGACAGATGCGTCGCAATATGACATTGCAATAACGTAATATAAACGTTATTAAAAACAATAACAACGTTGTCCTGACGTCGGTTCTACGTTGTATCTGACGTGACGTAAAATTACATTCTCACAACGTTGCAACAACGTCGTACTAAGGTAACGTCAGTCGTGACCTTCCAGCGACCAATACATAACGTCGCAAGGACGTCATGTGTTTCCTGGGATCCTGTCTTGCCTACATGGTCAAGTAAAGCTATTGCCATCACTGACGTGTCTGTGTAAGCTATTAGTGTCATCCTGTCTTGCCTACACGGTCCAGTAAAGCTATTGCCATCACATGATTTCAGTTGTATGTCAAATTTTTACCAATTTCCTCACTGATCTACAACATCTTAAATCTGATTTCTATCATTTTAAGACTACAACTCAACTTTTTTTCAACTTTTTTTGGACCATCCATTAACCTTCCTCAATTTGAACTGACATGGTGGTTTCTCGAGGGTGGTTTATATAGTGGCAATGAGGTCACATATGTTCCCATTGAACACTAAAAGAGTTCCCATTATAAACTATAGGGCTTTTCTGAACCCAAAAAGGTATCAATAATAAATGGTACTATCATTAATTCCTCATTTCATTCCCATCAAACATAAATATTGTAACCAGATGCAGTTCTCGGTTTTAACAGATCAATTTTAAAATTACAACTTCTCCTTTGAAACAATGCAAATCTTTCTAAAATTCATCAAAGTAATCGTGAAAGCAGCATTAGCTACTATTAAGACAAAAAACTAAAATCAGATTTTTGTTTGTTTCATATATTAATAAAAGCAGAATAGTAAAATAAAATTTTGGAATTACCAGTCAGTTGGTTCAATTTTTTCAAAATAAACTCAAAACATGATGTATTATTGGCTTGCATATCAATAATTCAACCTCATATTTATCCAATTGCATGTGACCTTCAATTTGACCTTTAGCTGGAGATAAATTACACAGTGCTAAGCATGTACAGTAATTAAAAGGAAAAGAATGTCAACATTGTCAAGATTTTTGAATATCAGTCTCGAAAAGGGACTGATTTTCAAAGATCTTTTTTTCAAGAACTACCGAACAATTAAAACCAAATTTGCCAAATATGATCCATATATTATTTCTTTGGTTCTCATGAAAAGCCTTTTATTGATAGTTTTAAATAATGGGGGCAATTCAGGCTCATTGGAGCCTTTGGTTGTAAGTTTGCCAAAAAATGCATTTAATAAATTTTGGAATTCAGACAGGTCCATTGTTTTTAGTTGAGGTAGAACATGGTTGACACTGGTTTGAGAGTGAATTAGCTTGTTAAAAACAAAGATTGATGTATATTAAAATAGAGAATTTACAAAATGACTTGAAATTTGAATATTCGTTTTGGATAATTCATTAGCTCTGCTGTACTTTTTTCAATGCCCTGCAGCTATATTAATGTTGGAAACCTTATTTTGATATCAACCTTGCTAAGTTCAGTTAATTAACTTGGAACTTTTTTAAACAATATTCAATTTTATATTTTAGCCACTGTTTGATGTTGTGGTAAGCAGAAATCTGTCCCAGGTAATTATACCGTTTAATGGAGCAGCTGATACACAGGATGTCAAAAAGCATGTTACAGACACAGTATTGAAAATTCTTTCTAAAGTGAGTATTTAAAATAGTTATGGCTAACTTGGACAACACTGTCTTTTTCATTGTGAAATGTTTTATTTGTACAGCAGGGTCAGTAATGTTTCAGTATCCTTAATAGTTATGGTTAATTTTAAACTTGCTTAAAACTAGATGGACTCTACAGTCACTGCAACACACATATAAAACACTAAAACTTAAGTGACAAATAAGGGTACCTTTGAATCTTTTTGATGCTGCTTATATTTTAGATTTCAATGGCATACACCAAAAGAAATTCTTGCAATTCTCTGAAATTTTTATTAGAATTTGCTTGCCAACCCTCTATACGCATTTAAAAAATCTGAAGAACAAGTATTATTTTTTTTGTGGCCGTATCTCTGTATTTTGACGGAATAGTTTTTACATCTCAAAAAATCAAATCAAATGATGGGACTGGTAATAATAGCTTATTAAGAATTCATGGTTCACCTAACAACATGCAAACTTAACTTTTAAGCATATTCTACATAGATAAGCTGTTAGTATTTGAAGGATTATTTTTGTTTGTTCCATACTTCCA